CCACCCTCATCCCCATCAAAATCACCCGCACTTCCCATTGCCTTTCTCCTTGTTTCACCAGTCCGTACACCGCGCTCTCATAGGACACCCCCTGTGCCCACCCTATCGCCCTTAGAAACTTCCCTACTCTTCCCCATACCCTCCTTGCAAACGCGCACTCCCAAAAAACATGATGCACCGTTTCTTCGTTTGTACAGAACTCCCTCGGGCATTCTGCCGATCTCACCAGCCTCCGTCGGTATAATACTTCTCTGACTGATAACACCCGCCTAACTATACACCACGCTATTTCCCTGTGAAACCCTTTCCACCTTGCGTCTTCTATTCCCCTCCACACCTCTCTCACCTGTTCCCATGCCAAATTCCCCACATCCGCTAACCCATCTTCCTCCCTAATTGCGTTGAAAATTACCCTCGCCTTTTGTAATCCTTCCACCCCCAGTTTCACCAAACCCTTTGCCCTGACGAATGCCGCCAGCCTATCCACATGCTGTGACGGTTTCCCTGGCCACGTGCCTGTCCACCTTTCTCCGAATACCCCCCACGCCCTCAAAACTCTACCTCCCCAGTACTTTACCCATTTCCCCACTATTCCTTCCCCTCTCCGTGCCTCCCTGACTAATGCTGCTACCCCATGCCCATATATGAAGGTTTCCCGTCTTTGACAAACCTCTCCATCCCCATATTCCCAGCACCTTTCTAACCCGTCCCCGCACTTCTCCCCACGCTGTTTCCCCTTTCCCATCTTTCTCAAAACTTATCCCTAATATTTTTTGTCCTCTCTCTACCACCTGCAACCCATATTCCTCCAGACCCTCCCAGTTCCCTATTCCCCATATCTTACTCTTCCCTCTATTTAATCTTGCTCCGGCTGCCCTTCCGTACTCTTCCATATGCTCCAGCACCCTCCTCACTGACCTTCTGTCCCTCACCAAAAATGTCACGTCATCCATATATAGCAGCGCTTTCACTTCTCCTCCCCCTGGTATCTTTATCCCCTGAATTTGGTTGTCCTGTTTTATCTTCCTTCCTACCGCCTCTATGCCACACGCAAAAAGCCCTGGTGACAACGGGCACCCCTGCCTTACCCCTACCTCTATTTTAATCTCCTCCCCCATATGTCCCTTTAACAACACCCTACTGAAAGCCCCCCGGTACACTTCCCTCACCCATCCTATGTATTTTCTTGGAAAACCCATCTTTTCCAACACCCTGAACAAATACCCGTGCCTAACCCTATCATATGCTTTTTCCAGATCCAGGTTTCCCACCACTATGTTCCAGTTCCTGTCCCTCACGTACTCTATTATGTCCCTCACCACCCAGTGTGTTCACTGATGCAAACCTACCATAAGGATAGATTAGTACACGATATGTGAATAAGATGCATGGTAGTGTCTGTTGCACTCTGTCCCTCTCAGTGGTGACTCTTCAAGTCATGGTGAGCCACTACATTGAATACATTTCAAGGTCCTCTTTATTCCCACAGCTGAGCTCTGCCTTTTCTTTCTGATTTCCAGTGATTCTTGTTTCTTCACCAGCCTTCAATATCTGGCAAACATCACCAAATGGGGTCCCAAACAGTTCACCCAGAATCCCTCTGTTGTCTCCTCTCTCAGCCTGTTGTATATGATTAGTGTGGCCCTGCCAGCTATGAGGTGGAGCTGGCCAGGTTGCCCTGTGCCTCATTTGCATATACATTTTTGGACTATCCCAGGACTTGACAAGTGTGCCTAGTTCCAGTCATAAGCGGGGGGCTAGTTACACACAGATCCTTTGTGGAGGGAGAGATATTTGAAGTACATGCCCATACTGAGCAGTGCTGAGCTGTAGGGTCATCATGACTTGAAGTGCTGTTGACCGCTGGGGCCCAGCCCAATGAACTATATGGTAAACCAGGAGTTATTTTTGATTTGGCCTAATAGTTTATACTCTGTGATAGGGGATTGTTCTCAGGCTTTCCCTTTATTTTGCTTCTACAGCCTTTTGGTTAGGGGCAAGTGAGACTAGGGAGCATCTGAACTCCAAGGCCTCTGGGTTTGGGACTTGCACATAGAATGCCTGCCATGGATTTGGGAGTATCTGAAGCCCCAGACTGAAGAGTCTGGGAGAGAGGATAATTGTCAATGGTAACGCTATGCAGACTTGAACAATTGAGCTCTGCTCTGTCCAAATTTGGAACTTAATTCGGAACTGATTTGGCCTCAGGAAAAAAAAAGTGTGTGTCATATATGAATGAAAGTGCTGCTTAAAAGTGAGTTTATGGAGTACCTGTGCTAAAACTTGCAGCAGTTTCAAAAAAGGTGAAATACATCAATTCTGGATTAACTAAATCTATATGTACCTGTCTATTTGCAAATTATTACAGGCCTGTCAAAATCAGTTTTTTCAAATTTGCTCCTCACTTCTATGTTCTCAGGGAGAGTAGGGTCTAGCAGCAGGGTGAGGAAGGGGCTGCCGGGGGAAGAAGTTGCGGGGACAGAGGGCAAGGGGGCCACTGCCCCGCCCCACCCCCCCCCCCAATTTATTTTCCCTACTGTATTAGCGGGAGGGGGACAGAAATTCAAGGCAAACCTCCAGTAAGTAGATTCTGTACCTGGAAAAGTATAACAAGTTTATAATTTTTCAATATGTAGAATCTAATTATTGAGGGATTGTCTTATATTTGGGGTCATCTTATATTTGAGTAAATATGGTACTTGTATTCTTTCTCTAGAGAAATGTCTTGCATTATATAATTATCTGAAAATAGTGATTTTTATTTATTTATTTATGTATTTATTTATTTATTTTAATCAAGCTTTTTTTACCATTACATTTGCATTAATAGTCAATGTATTAAGAGTTTACTGAAGAGGAAACAGTAACGTTTCATATAGAAACTGCTCTTTGATTTCTTATGTGCATTTAGTCTTTCTGTTTTATTTCAGACAGAACCAAGCAGTGTTATTAGACACATTAGAACAAGAAATCTCAAAATTCAAGGAATGTAATTCCATTCTTGATATCAACACCTTGGTAAGTCTACTATATTACAAGACAAACTTGTATCACTGTGTAGTAGAGGTGCACCGAAACATT